GAATGATTGTCAGCATGGTCAGTGATTCTATTGGGGAAATTGCAGGGATGTAGATAGGTAAAGAGTGGCCAGAGAAGACACAGGGAAGATGTAGATCATGTACTACATAATGATGTTTGGGTCAATGATAGATTGAATATATGACAGCAGATTATATGGAGTATAAGAAAAAAGTTTGCAATGTTGAAAGGAAAGGCTGAACCCTACTAAGATGTTGGATTTACTGGTAGTTCTGGGTGGTTTAAATAGATGAGAAGACTCAGCATGTTTTCTAACCACCATGTTCCTGCCCCAGGCTTAGGCCTGGAGTGGGCCAGGGGGAGGAAGGGAGCCTGGGAGATCACCACCCCCCACCCGCCAACCCTCTGTTTCCCTCATTCCTTCTCTCTCTTTCACCTCTTCCTTTTATTATTTCTCCTCTCAAGCTTTATTTCTCTGCATCTCTTTTGATCTATGCTCTTCCTTTTTCTCCCCTTCTCTATTTTCCCTTTCTCCATTCCTTACTCGCTCCTCTTAATGTCTTTTCTCTAGCAGACAGTGCTTTCCTCCATAGCCTTCCCCTGGCCCCCACAATGTGTGTGTGCATGCATGTACACACACACACACACACACACACACACACACACACACTTTATCTTTTATAAAGTATTTTTACTGTACCTTTTCTATGTTTAGCTATGTTTAGATACACAAATAGTATGTTTAGATACACAAAAAGTATTCAGTACAGTAACATGATATACAGGTTTATAACCTAGAACCAATAGGCTACATCATAAGTATTAGTGGGTTATACCACCTAGGTTTGTGTAAGTACACCCCATGATGTTTGTACAATGACAAAATTGCCTAGCCATGTATTTCTCAAAATGTATCCCCCTCATTAAGTGATTCATGACTATATTTGGATAGGGAGGATAGACCTGAATTTTAGGAGCAGCTGTCAGTGATCAGCTGTAAAGTCTTGGGCAAGTCAACCTCTCTGTACCCCAAGTTCCTCATCTGGTTAACAACTGGGTTGGACTAGAGCAGCGGTTCTCAACCTGTGGGTCGCGACCCCTTTGGGGGTCAAACGACCCTTTCACAGGGATCGCCTAAGACCATCAGAAAACACATATATAATTACATATTGTTTACAGTAGCAAAATTACAGTTACGAAGTAGCAACGAAAATAATTTTATGGTTGGGGGTCACCACAACATGAGGAACTGTATTAAAGGGTCGCGGCATTAGGAAGGTTGAGAACCACTGGACTAGAGGCTCCATAACATTCCTTCCAGGTCTATGACTAATAGGCTGAGTCCCGGTCAGAATCTGGTCAGATCCACAAGGTTCCTGGGGTGGTTCCCTTGGAGATGAGGCCATATTGCAATGCATAATAGGAAATGACACAGTGTCAGACTCTCCAGGTTTTTTGCCGGAGACCAATTCCAGCATGTTCAGCAGGGCTGCATCTGGGAATGGCTTTAAGGCATTTCCCCAAACCTGAATAGGATACATTAAATTGATTGTGGCTGCCAGACAGCTAAAAGGCATCTTAATCTACATGTTATTGCCTCCTACTGGCCAAACACCTGAACAGCCGTAGGCTAATTCCCCCATTCTGACAATGGACTCTGTACCAAACCCTGACCCTTTGAAGTGTATATATCTGCCTCGCCTCAGGACAAGTTGTGTTAATAAAAAGCATGGGGTCCTGGGGACTAGGTGAGAACCTAAGACCTTAGACTTAAGACCTTAGAACTTAGCTCCTTTAGCTAAGCTCCTCTGACCCCCAATGCCTTTCAAAATTTTATCTTGTCTCCAGACTCTTTATTAGTCCCTGAACTCTATTTACTCTACGCACAGCCTTCTCCAGATTCCTGAACCCTTCTTGATGCTGGGACAAGAACCCCGGCAGTTTTTATCTCTCAGAAACAATTATGGGCTAGTTGGTTTATACTGGCTGGTGAGACTGTATCAAGTAGGAGTTAAGACAATGAATTATGGAGTTGGACCTTAGTTTGAAAACCAGTTCTGCTGCTTCCTAGTGGGTGCCTTGGGACAAATGATTTGACCTCTCTGAACATCAGTTTCTGCGTCTCTAAGATGATGAGAATAGAACTACCTCATAGGCTTGTGAAGATGAAAGGCATTAATGTAGTATGTAAAGTACTTAGCTCATCACCAGGCAAAATGGAAGTGCCCAGTCAGCCGTGTCTATGACTACTACTCATTGCTATCAACGTAATTCTTCTGACATGGGCATGGCTAAGTTTCAGCATTTTTCATGGATACAGTTTTATCTTTCCGGATGGAGTTTGAGAAATGTATAAACAAATCTTTCTGGCCAAAGCATCTCTAGAGTCAGATCTGGGTTTAGTTCTTTGCTCTGATTCTTACAGGCTCTGGGACCTTGGGCAATTATTTAACATCTCTGTCCTTATCTGTAAAATGCAGGCAGGTATAATGCCTACCCCCAAGGGTTGTGATGAATATGATAATGAATGTGGAGAACTTAGTGCTGTACCTGACATTTATAAGCCACTCAATAAGTGGTGGCTTTAATACTGATGGTGAAAATCGGTGTTGTGAGAATAATGATTACCTCCACTACCACTACTCTTGTTGGCATAGAGGGTTGAGTGTGTTCAAGTTTGGACAGTTTTGGCATACCCAACCAAAATGTTAGGAGAGGCAGCTGTCGCTGTTCCTGAAGGGACAGCAAAAGAGTTGTTGCCAGACTTCACTGACAGTGGCTGGGAATTTAAAACTGAGTTGTTTTTGGAGGCATGATGAAAAATGATTCAGCAGACTATATTCTCAGCAGAAAAATTCTATTTATTTCTACCAGTCCCATTATATCTAAAAACTGTAGGGGGAAAATGTAATTCTAAACTGGCCCTGTACTTCTAAGACTCAATTTCAGTTGGTCAGCCAGGACATGTTGTTCATAGACTTCCTCGGGAGCATCTGGGTGCAAAGATGTAAGGTCTCTATTCTTTGTCAAGGTTGTCTTCATTCTCAAATGGATGCTAACTGTTCTTGAACCTCTCCATGGGTGTAAGATTCATCTGATGGATAGATGTACTGGAAGGATGGGATTTCTCAGGAATGCGATGTTAGAGTAGGTGGAGTTATATGGGACTGTAGAGGTATTAGTTAAATAGAAATAAAAAACTGAAATCGTCCTAATGGTTCTGGAGATGAGTGCATTTACTGAGGGAGGGATATTGGATTTTTCTTTTCTGTCCCTCCATTTTTCTCTTTAGTACTCTGTTAAAAGTCAAAGAGACAGAAAACAGCCAGTCACTGCAAGGAAAGCTAAGCTCCAGGTTTCCTGCCTTCCCAGACCACTCCAGGTTAGGATGATATTGGCCACTTTCTAAGGGAGTGTAGACTCCACCTCACCAGGCACCCACCCTCTGGCCTGGACTCAGACTTTCTCTCACTCTAGCTTTCTCCCTTATCCCCTTCCTTTAAGGAATACTAACCACAGGTTTCAAAGATGTCTTCATAAGCATCTTCCAGCATCATCTCCTCTACATACCAGGTAGGCATTCTCTTTTTTGGGCTGGGTTCTGATGTTATAGAAAAGAAAAATGGATTTCAATTTTGTACAGAGATTTAGGGGTAATTTCAGATATCTAGAAAAACACTTCCTCTATTCTTCCACCAGATTCCTTCTACTCAACTCTCATCTTCACCCCTCATCTCAGATCAGTGCCTCTCTCCTCTTCAGTGTCCCTGGCCAAGTACAGGCCCCTCCGTATAGATATAACAATCCAAGACTCTGGGGTAGCCTGAGGGCCAGATCCCTTGGAGAGCAGAGATGAAATTATAATATTGATACTTGACCATCACGGTGACTGAGGTCCCAGCAAACACTGAGAATGAGGGGCAATTAAGAACAATAGGCCTTCAAGTCCTCACAGCTATTTTTCTTTAATGCCTTTATTATATTGGGAAAAATCATATAGCTTGTTATAAAAAGAAAATTTCCAATAAAACAAAAAAACAAAGAAAGGCACCTAGGCCTTTTACTTCTCTCCTAGTATATCACACCTAGAGAAAACCACTGCTATTGTTTTAGTGATTTTTCTCCAGATATTCTATGCATGTGTAAACATCATGCTTCACATGCTATCCTCTGACTTGCCTTTTTCTCTAACAAAACATCAGGTTGTGGAAAACTTTCCATGGCAGTAAATATAAGTCAACAATAGCCCTTTTAATGTCTGTATAGTATTCCATTGTGTAGATGTACCCTACTTTATTTAGTTGTTTTGCATTGTTAGACATTTAGCCTGTTTATAACGTTTAGCTATTGTACCTAATACTGTAATTGGACAATCTCAAGCATCTTTTTTTGGGGTACTTGTGTAATTATCTTTGGATATAGATCAATAAATGAGATGATTGGTTCACAGGGTTTCCACATTTTTAAAGTTATCAATATATATATTGAAAGAGTGAGAACAAAAGGGAGAAGACAACCAAAGTACTCTCCATAAAGATTGTGCCAATTTGTACCTCCACCACTGGAAATTGTAACTTTTAAGATAACCTATACCCATTCAGACAAAGATCTTGTGTTAGCCAGTGCTGAGCCATCATACTGGAGTACTAGGTGATGGTACCCAAGGAATCTCCCTGTCCTTCATCCACTTCTCCTGACCACCAACCATAGTATGAGAAAAGAGTTTCAGACTCAAAATAGGAATGTTTTATAAATTGTGAGAAGAAGGTCTCTATATAGAGTGTCCCCCCAAAATGTATACACACTTAACAGCTGATAGCTCAATTGATGTTTCTTTCTTTTCAGATTTAACCCATTGGAATTAATCATTATTCAAAGTGAATATATATTTTTTGGGACACCTGTATTTTTTCTTCTCTGACTAACCACTGATCTAGCATTACCTTCAAAAAAATCATCATTGTCATCATCATAGTCGTCGTACTCATCGTATTCATCTTCATCATTGGTGCACGTTTCTGGGAACTGAAAGTCAGCTCTATAGTTGTAGTGAAGCTCAGTAGTGTTTTGAGCTCCATTTACCTTAGAACATTCACCTTCCTCCATGGGTTCATCTAAGGCAAATGTCACTGATACATTCTTTTTAGGTTTTAATCTTAAGCCTTCTTTCTGTACAGCAAGAAGATGAAGGGGGAAAAGTCAGTTGGTGCCCAACAGTTTAGAGATTGTCCCTGTGGCAATAACATTTAAAGAGTCATTTACCTTTAGGATTGGCTTTAGAGGCCTAGTTTCCATTGAATGTTGTCCTAGAGGCTCTTCTTTTTCTTCCGTCATTTCTACGTTGGTAGGTAAGCTGAGGAACATAGAAAGGACAAAGCAATAGTGAAAATAAACACACTTCAAGCTACTTAATTAAATGCAGCTGTTACCCCATTCCTGCATATGTATTTGAACAATGAAATGGACAATAGAGCAAGACATTTTAGCCTTTTATTCCTCAAAACCTTGATCACCTCCTGTTTTCTTATTTTTCTTTTTCATATTCCTCTTCTCCCCCATATTTCCTTATTATTGGATCAGAGAACTGCAAGTAGAGAATGTGGGGTGGCTCCAGGACATTCATATAGAAAATATTGCCTAGAAGTTCCTTAAGGGGCTTGTGTTCCTTTTCTTCTCCACATGGCAAATCGGGGAATTAAAAATCATGTTTTGGAGAAGCTCTAATGTTGATAGTTTGGCTTTACCTTTCTGCAACTCATCCCACTAATGTGATCACTCAAGTTGTGCCAGGGGGAGGGTATACCTAACAATGCTGGAAAGTTTATGGTCACTGACCTAGCCCCATTTGAGCCAACTGATCTTGAAAGACTTGCTCAGAACCATACAGAATCCAAGCACCTCCCAGAACTCCCTGCTTATGTTGAATATTGATTCCTGCATCTGTTCTTTTTTAAAATTATATTTTATTATTGATTTTAGAGAAAAAGGGAGAGCGAGAGAGAGAGAAACATCAAAGATAAGAGAAAATCATTGATTGGCTGCCTTCTGCATGCCCCACACTGGAGATCGAGCCCTCAACCTAGGCATGTGCCCTGACCGGGAATCGAACTGTGACCTCCCGGTTCATGAGTAGACTCTCAACCACTGAGCCATGCCAGCTGGGCCTTATCAACCTAATAGAGGCAGCTCAGTACCTGATTGATGCACATTCAACCTTGAAGCCTGTGGTGTCCTTGTAGGTTGGGATACTTGAAGTGAGTGACTGTTGGTGAGCACACAGCTTTTCCTGTTTATTCTGAATGGCAGTTACCAGCCAGCGCAGCCCTTCAAGTAGGGGCTCATGGTTACTTCTTTGGAGGTTTTGGATAGCTGAACAGGGTTCCTGTGACCAAAAGAGAAGACTCCAGCTCAGGAACCTGAGACCACTGGGGATCAAAGTCCCTCCCACTCTCAGCCAAGGGGCAGAGGTACACATAAGCTCTGCAGTGCCTAGAGAGGCTTTAAGACTTCCTAGGAGAACTCAGTATTCACAGCTGAGAATGTAAATAAAAGCTACAAAAGCTAAGGTCATTCAATAAAGTGGTTGTGATGTAATGTCTTAGATATGTGATTTCGGGCAAGGAACTCAGAGTTTTTGAGCCTCATCCATAAAATGAGGATATTGAAGCTTCCAGCTTTACAGAGCAATTTTGAAGTCTAATAAGAAAACATATGTGAAAGTGGTTAAGAGTGGGATATTGTCATCATCGAGTCAGAAATCACCACTATAGGCATCACCTGGCAGGAAGAGGCTTTGCCTGAGATCTAGCATATGGGGCTGATTATGGAGTGGTGCAAGGTATGCATCAGCTGGGCTTGAGAGGGCAAAAGAGGGGAGGGGTTGACACTTACCAATAGGCACATGATCTTGTTGTCATTCATTATCTTTTCCAGGAATAGATATTTAATAATATCACAAGGTAAGAGGGCATTCTTCTTGTCTTGTTTATTTGCCAATCTAGAGCAGGGCACAGGAGAGAGGGTAGGAAGAAGAGAGGAAGAGTAAAACATAAATAGAGGCAAAGGGCAAGAAAAGAAGGGAAATAGGGGGAGAACCTATTATGGTACAGTTGCTACATATTCAAGAACTAGCTTTAAAGACATGCACAATGAGATGAACCAGACATTTTTCTAGCCAATTCTCAATGGTGGAAAGAATAACACATATAATTTGAATCCAAGATCATCCCCAGATCGAATTTCTCACTTCATCTCTACACTATGCCATCAAACTTTAATTAGAATTGCTAACTGGGATATGAACAGATTTGGAGTTTTTAAACAGCCTCTGCCAAACTCTGTTCATACTGAGTTGGGGGTGCTAATGAGGAACAAAAAATGCAAAAAGGGAGTGGGGGTGATTGATTGGGCCATCCGAAGTATCACCCTGGAATCAGTGCTAGTTACATGACTCTTGGGCAGTCTGTGAAGGGAGGAGGACATTGGCATCAATTATACAAAATAGGGGTGGTTTCAGGGGTAGAGACTGAAGCAAAAAAAAAGAGAAAGAAATTCAGGAAGACAATCTTCAGGAAGAGTCATGGGATGGAGGTAGGAAATCCAGATATTACTCTCCATTTCCCTTTGATGCTTGCTTTCAAAATTACATTTGCACAATTAGGTAACATTTTCACCCATGGCAGCGTGTGGTAGAAAGTAGCTCTTAAAAACAGACCCCAGAGGACTGGGTTACCCCCTCCACACACACACTGAGCTGAAGGGAAGAGGAGATCTAGCTGGATGTGACAAAGGGACCACCCAGCTCTTCCTTTGTCTACTTGTCTTCTGAAGGCACAAAATGGGAAGGGAAAATTGAGCACAAAGGCAGAGGCTTACAGTAGGATGGGTTTTCCTGCCACTCTTGCATCAGACAGAAGATGTGATAAAGTGGTCTTCACTTCCTGCATGCGTCCTAAGTCGCTGGAATCCAGGACAAAAACAATCCCGTGTGCTTGTGCATAGTAGTTGGGCCAGATTTTTCGTCCCTTCATATCTCCATTCAGGTCATAGACAGAAATTTCATATTCATCTAGCAGAACTGTAGTCAGTTTAGAGTTCATACAATGGTCTATCTTGCTAGGAAGTACTGTGCATAAGGGAAGAGAGGAGAAGCAACCACAAAGCAGAGGGATATAGTTAGATGAAAGTATTTGTTAAACAAATGTTGACTAGAGCCGTAGCTGGTTTGGCTCAGTGGATAGAGCGTCGGCCTGTGGACTCAAGGGTCCCAGGTTCGATTCTGGTCAAGGGCATGTACCTTGGTTGCAGGCACATCCCCAGTGGGGGGTGTGCAGGAGGCAGCTGATCGATGTTTCTAACTCTCCATCCCTCTCCCTTCCTCTCTGTAAAAAATCAATAAAATATATATATATTTTTAAAAAATGTTGACTAGAGCCTGCCCTGAGGAATGCTACTGAGGCATCTTGCCATCCTGTTCACTCATGGATTCATTTTCCTAAACCAGCACTTTGCCCAGGCAACCCTCTCCTGGCTCAGTAATCTTTAGTGAGTGGCCACTGCTCCCAGGAGAGAATACAGACTCCTTCGCCTCCTAACCTGCCAGCGCTATCTCTACCCTGTCTTGTGTCCACAGTGACCCTGGTACACACCTAGTCTTTTCTTCCCTCTGCTCCTTGGCTAACTCTCCCCCCACTACACAAGAATGTCATGCTCTTTTGTGCCCTGGGCCTTCACAAGATGCTATTTTCGCAGCTTAGAACATTTCTTACATTGCTCTTTCCTTGGTTAATACCTATTTTTAAACATCTATTTAGATCTTGTTTCCTCTAGAAATTTTTCCCTAACTCACACCCCCAACCCCCAAATCTGGGTAAGGTGCCTTTCTTCTGGGCTTATCACTATAATAGTACATATGCCAGTGTTACAAATTCAATGGTTTACTAATCTGGATTATACACTGCAATAGGACAGGGACCCTTTCAATTTTATTCACTGCTACATTCACAATGCCAGGGGCAGAGGTGCTCAATAAATATTTGTTGAATGAATTTGATGAATGAATGAATGAATAAATGAATGAGCAGGAGGCTCTTCTCTCCTACCCTTTTATCAAGGCTCAGGAAGGCTTCTTTAGGGAAGCTTATCTGACCACCCCAGCTCCACTTTCTCTCCCTCATTGAGCACATGGTCTGTTAAGCTGGTCATTCAACTCCCTCTGTGCATGCCATGGCTTCCCAACTAAAATAATGAGGGAGGGGCTTTGCATTAGTTTACACTCAGTAGGTGTTCAATACATGTTTATGGTGCCTATTATTGTGTGTAAGTATGAAGTACTTTTCATATGTCTTCTAAGAAACCATGCCAAATTTAGATACATTTGCCCTGTCAAGGTCATGGCCAGATCATACAGTCCCATAGGGCAGTGGTCGGCAAACCGCGGCTCGCGAGCCACATGTGGCTCTTTGGCCCCTTGAGTGTGGCTATTCCACAAAATACCACGTGTGGCGCGCATGTACAGTGCAATTGAAACTTCGTGGCCCATGAGCAGAAGTCGGTTTTTGGCCTGGGCGAGTCTATTTTGAAGAAGTGGCGTTAGAACAAGTGGGGGGTGTTGGTCGGGCAATGGGAGACACGGCGCTGGCGGGCCAAGGGATACGCAGCACAAGGGAGGCGCGCGCGTGCGATTCATGCAGGAGTTGAGTGAGCCAGTCAATCAGCAGTCTCATTGTGCAGTGGTTAGTGCTAGTTGCGTCCGCAAATCGCGCACGGGTGACAAAAGTACCTACTCGAAGCATAAAGTTACCTGTATTTTTCCAACCAGCTGCAAATCCTACAGGTATTTTTGTCATCAATTTAAGAATTGTAATTATTTTGTGTTGGTGGCTTTATTATTATAAAATGAAACATTTTTTTAGGTGCCCTGTTTGAGATGGCTACAAAGAAGAAGCAAAGAAAAACGGAAGACGAAAACCGTGAATTTAAAGTTGAATGTACCTACCTATATAGTTTAAGTTATTTGGCTCTGTTGACTAATGAGTTTGCCGACCACTGCCATAGGGCATTCCATACCTATTCTGCCCCCATAGAAGTGCAGTTCAAAAGGACAATCTTTCTACAAATTCCAGTCTGTTGAACTGAAAGTTCTGACCTAGATTTCTGCCCACATAAGCAGCAAAATGATTTTATAGATTCTCTATACTCAGACTTGGGAGTTCTAAGACCAGAATCAGTAGCTTTCTATTTCTAATCTCAGATCTACTTGTGACATTTTCATTAGGATTGCCAGAATGAATCATTTAGCTGAGAAGTTAGTAAGATGCTTTCAGATCGTTGGTAATGTATGATTATATAGACATTTACATATATATATGCATATATTATCATTATTACATTTTAATGTGATCTTATAACTTCTGTTTTCATGTTAGTCAATGCTCTTTTTAATTATAGCTTTCAGATAACATAAAATTTTCAGTCACAACTTTGATGTGATATTTGCTATGTCTCGCATTAGACTACTTAAAATAATAAGTGGATAAAGATAGTTTTAATTTGTTTCCAGCATGAAGGCAAGCTTTAAGTTATTTTTCCCTGTCTAATCAAAACATTTTCTTAGTTATTTTTTCTTTTTACTTGAAACCTTACCAATTCCTTCAATAATGCAATCTATTGTTGGCAACCCTAGAAGCTGTGAGAAGTTGTTGTTCCCTGACACTTTACATTTCTCTTATCTCCTCTATTAATTCATAAACTCCCTGAGAACAGGTAATGAGTCTAATTTATTTCTATATCCCATAAAGCACAACAGTCCGGGTACTGTTGGCTTCTGAGTTACTTGGCAATGATAAAGTCCTACCCTACACCAATTGAATCAGAATCTCTATGCTGGGACCCAAGTATTTGCATGTTTAACAAACTGCTATATTTAACAAAATCTGTAGGTGATACTTCTGCACTTTAAAGTTTGAGACCCACTACCCTAAAGAGCAAAGAAATCCATGCCTGCTGTGTCTCAGCATCATCTGGTGCTGCTTGTTAGATTTTGATTCCATGCCCCGCCCCCCAGTCCAAAGTGTCTGAGCCTCCAGGTCCCACTAAGTAACTGTAAAAGCATCCCACATTATTCTGATTTTTGGCTTTCAGTACTCACTATGCTAAGGATCACCTATGGAGCTTTTAAAAACTATGACACTAGATCTCCTTCTCTGAAGGTTTGATGCCATAGATCTGGGGTGGGGCTCAAGCATCATGTTCATTTTTAAAAGCTTCCCAGGTTATTGAAATGTATAGCCAGGTTTGAGAGGCACTGCCCTAAATTCCCTCTTTTAGGGCACCTGCTTATGCTCATCCTTGGGTTTTTCACCCCATGTGACCTTTCCAGACAAAACAGTTATAGTATATGTTGTCATTGAGAATAATGGCTTCTGATCACAGATAGTTTATAGCTTCAAAGTTACTACTTATAGTAACACAAGTTACTACTTATAGATTGGTATTTCCTTCCTAGGCTGTTATCTGCAATCATAAACATTTGCAGGAACAGGAGAGGTGAACTATTGCATATTGTGTACAGAGCAGCCTAATAGATTGACTGTAGTAGTCCTGAATGGACTGAGACATTCCTTAGAATGTGACATCAGTGGAACTTTGCTTCTTGGCCATTAGAAACTTCTCTGTGAATGAATTCACAACTCCAGGCTCTATCCTCTAAGAGTCAGAATGGAAAGCAGATACTATTCTCAAAGACAAAATAGCATATGGCTAATTACGGAAGAGTGCTTCCCAAAGCTGGCTGCCCATCAAAAACACCTGGAGAGTTCTTAAAATATAGATTCCAGGGCCCCACTCAGGTAGATAATGGAGAGGATGAAATGCTAGGTAGTAGGACAGCATTATAGAAGGCATAGGTATGTGAAATAGATCAGTATGATGGCAGAGGAATGGCAAGTCATTTGTTTTGGCTCTATCAGGTCACATGCAGAGAGCATGAGAAATGAAGCTGGAAGAGAAGTCAGAAACCAAATCATAGAGGACCCTGTGTGCCTCTAGGAACTTAAATTTTATTTTGAATACAATGGGGAGGTAGTAAATGCTTTTGAGCAGAAGGAAGTGCCATGATCAGATTTTTGTATTAAGTCCTTCAGGCAACTGTGTTGACTGAATGCTGGGGAGACAACCAGAGATGGAAAGATCAGCCAGCAGCCTGTTGCTGTAGTTCAAGAAAATTGCTGCAGGTTCCCAGTACACCAGTGGCAGAGGAGTCAGGTTAGCCCTTTCCTGTACTTTGCTGAAGGCTTCTAAATGATATAAAATTCAGCCACATCATCATACCCCTACTTTTATTTAATAAACATCAATGGAGAGCATCTTATGCCAACCTGTGTGCTGGGCTCTTTGACTAGCATTTAGTTGTGTGTTCACAACTAGAATAGTAGCTCCCTGCAATTCTGTGTAACTGCTTCTTGAAATGTCAAGGTATTAAACTGGAGATCTGGTATTAAACTTGCATATCTCTGAATTGACAACATTTCACAAGTTCCAACCCTCTATATTAACTGTCACAAAGTATTTGTTATTAAACTTCTTAAGACCAAATTCCACTTTAATTGAGCTCTGAAATGAGACACTTTTTCAAACATGCTATCCTTCATAATTTACTGCAGTGTTTTACATAGTTTGAATCCATTCATACTGACACTATGTGAGGATGTTTAATTAGGATATCTTGTAAAGGGAGACGGTGACAGACATTACATAAACAAGCTGATAATACCCCAGGAAAGGATTGTGTATGTGTGTTGGAAAGTGCTTATCTTCAAAAGAGGCAACCTGAGGGCTGTGAAGTAAAGCTAGGAAGGAATAATTATTTCATTGGTCACTGGGGCCCTTGAGAGACCTAAACCAATGTCTAATGCTCCCAATTCCTTACGTCTGCGGAAGGCCTCCACAAAAACAGTTTTGCCTGCATTCTCCAGACCGATGATGATGATGGTCATATTCCTATTAATGGAAAAGAAAAATGAGCCAAAGCCTTAAAAGCAGTTAGTTCTTAAGCTAAACAAAGAAGTCTATTCTTCTTTGGTGTTTGGGGATCTTCCTACAGTAGTCCCAATATGTGTATCATAAAAGGCACAGCCAAGGTGGTAGAAGGTTATATAGGAATCCCTTCCCAAGGTCTCCAAGGATGTGTTTCTTCCCGAGTCACTTGCCTTGCAGAATTAGCCATTCTCTTCAAACCTTGTCCTCAATCTTGCATGCAGACAGACTAATCACTTCCCCTAACAATATATATCATGATTTGTCCCATGTGGGACTGTGGGCAGATACATTGGAGGAAATGGTGGAGTAGGTCTAGGGAAATAATTACAATATTACCTTCGTGTCCCATTAGTATTTACTTGAGGCCCGCAGGATGTCATTAGCTTGAACATGATTCAGCTTCGTTCTGTAATATTAAGGGAAACAATAAGAAATCAGCCCCGCTATTAACATTGAACTTGTCAGTTTATGACTACATAGGTGCTGATAAACAGAAAGCCTTGTACTGACAGAAGTCCATTACTTCATTCTAGCCACCCTTATCTATAAATGTCATAGAGCGAGGGATGGGTAATCCTCAATTCTACTGGCATATTCCTGCAAAATGGGATGGTTTCTTGTTAAAGCAACCTACACAGGCATGATGGCATCAGGTGTGGCCTTCCCTTCAGCCGTAGATCATCCCTGTTGGGAATATCTTCATTCAACCTTAGGTGGGGTGAGGTGAAGCTTCAGAGAAGAACCAGCTGAGATTTCAAGGACCTATTTATTGGGAAACCTGTTCTAAGTGACAACTATCTACTATTCTTGGTTCTCTTATTGCCTCTGCTTAAAAAATGTTGGTGAGCCATTGTCATAGATTTCATAAAATTCCTAGAGCTGTAAGGGACCTTTGAGATCATCTAGTCTAATAGATTGCAAACATCAGTCCAGGTGCCCCACTCTCAAAGATTCCCAGGGAGTTGCATAATCTCTCCAGTAGTTTTCAAAGTGCAACAATATTTGGAAATGAATGCCTAAGTAAAAAGGATAATTTAGACAACCACCTCAAGGTCCATCCATGTTGTAGCATATATTAGTATTTTGTTCCTTTTTATGGCTGAATAATATCCCATTGTATGAATATACCACTTTTTGTTTATTCATTAGTTTATGGACAATTGGCTCTTGTCAATAATGCTGCTATAGACATTTTTGTACAACTTTGTGGACATATGTTTTCAGTTTTCATGGGTACATATACTTAGAAGTGTAGTCACTGGGTCATATAACTCTACATTTAAACTTTTGAGGAAGTGCCAGACTGTTTTCCCAAGTGGCTGTAACATTTCACATTCCCACTAGCAGAGCAGGAGGGTTCCAATTTCTCCACATCCTTGCCAGCACTTGTTGTCTTTTGTTTATAGCCATCCTAGGGGGTGTGAAGTGGTATCTGATTGTGGTTTTGATTTACATTTCCCTAATGACTAATATATTGGAGCTCAGAGCTGGGGAAACTCTGGTTGGGCTAGCAAAGTATTTCAGCTGATACTCAGATGGGCTTTGCTTAGCTCTCTGATGAGCACAGTGGATGTGCAGTTTATCTTTGGATAACAGCATGGTTCTGCAGAGTCATCCACTGTTTTGGAAAACTGTCATTCCCAAATAGGGACTCACATTTCATAGCATTTCTTAGAGTACAGTTTGTTCCCTAGGAGATCATTTGTCTTCCCATAAGGACCTCCTGGAGAATGGCTCTGGTTTATGCTAGACAAAATGGAAACCTTATATATGGCCTGTGATCAAAACCAGCTTTCCTCCAGCTTTGTTCATAAAACTGATAAGACCTTGAGCCTGAATCACCAGAACCTGACTGTCTGGGTTCCACAGTAGCCGTCTCTCTTTGAGACAAGGCCAGTAGCAGCTTCATGTCTATATCCTTATAATTGGAAGAGATTCCTAACTTGAGTTCAGGCTCTCTGTATTTGTTAGTGCCACCAGGAAAGGTCAAACTGGCATCATACAAGTTTTTCTTTAAAAACTTATCCTAAGGGGACAACCAAGATGACAGCATGGGTAAACATCTATACTCGCCGCCTCGCCTCCCATAACCACATCAAAATTACAACTAAAATACAGAACAACCATCATTCAGAACCACCTGAAAGCTGGCTGAATGGAAGTTCTCCAACAAGAGAAGTAAAAAAGAAAGCACATTGAGACTGGTAGGAGGGGAGGAGGTGCTGAACAGGCTGGTCTGACACCCACATGTACCGCTTTTTTAATCTGGAGGGAGATTATCTCTATGGAGGCCTCCCGTGAGGAGCAAGGGGTTCAAGCCCCACACCAGACCCCCATCCCAGAGTCCCAGAGCTGGGAAGAGAAGTCCCCACAATTATGGGCTGTAAAAACCTGTGGGGATTGAGGATGAGAGACATGGAGACTGCTGGAGACCCAGCTGTTCCTTTTAAAGGGCCGGCGCACAAACTCGGACTAGAGACCTCTGAGTTCCAGCACCAGGTGGCTCTGGGGCACCCAGACACATATGAGGGGGAGCTGGACTGTCTGGCATCAGAGTAGGAACTCAGGGGGTGGCTTTAACCCAGACAGGGGTGCTCACAAGGGTCATTGTTCTTGTGCTGGGACCTCCCATGCCGAAAGGCTGACAGGCAATCATAACTGAGTCTCAGTCAGCCTGGAGCACACTCTTAGCTCCACCCTTTCCCCCACCCCTTAGCCCTAGCTTGAACCAGTCTCTTCCAGAAGGGAGGTGATTACACTCATTCAGGAGTCTGGAGGTTTCCCTTGAGCTGGTATTGGCATTGTCCTGGGAAGTGTAATCTACCATATCAGCTCTGGGATCTTGGGAATTTCCTTGACCTGGGTCAGCCTCTATTTCTTATCAGTCAGACTGTGGTAATAAAAGAGCCTTCCTAGAGTGGTTATGAGAAATGGAATGAGGCAATATATGTAAAGGGTATAAACTCATTTAGCAGGCCCTGGTTTTATTAACTTCTTCAGGCCATGAGTTTTGGGGAGCAGAGACAGTAATCACCTTTTATTTTTGGTATCCCCTCAAGCTCAGCTGTATGTTTAGAGGTTTGTTTAGATGTGAATGTTCCTGCCTGGTCCTGGCCTCTCCAAGTGGCTGGGGTGGGGCCAGGCCAGCCAGCAGCCAGCCCCCTCAGACTGAAACCGCAGCCCCTAGACCCCCGCCCCCACTTCACCCTCAACCACTCCTGGGAGGAAGCCAGCTGCCTGAGCATTGGCTCCACCTACTTGTGCATATTCATTTACACAGTGGCATTCTCTGCCTGTACATTTAGGTGGCCATATCCACTGGGATTATAGATACCATTTGTCCTTGATACATATTAGGCCCTGTCCTAGGCACTTTCCACAGTCATATTCTCCACTTGAGAGGCTGATACAGTGCCCCAGTGTGCCTATATGGTAATGGCAAATTGAGATTAGAACTGTCAACATAAGAAACATGCAAATCTACAGGGAATTTTTGTGTTTATTTGAACCAAACCATTGACAATTGCCAGGAAAAACAATCTCAAGGGATTGAGAAAATGCTCCAGAGAATGGCAGTTTTGCACCTTATTAAAACACACACACACACACACACACACACACACACACACGTCAAAAAAACAAACAAAACAAAACACAAAAAAACAAGTTATAGGGATTTAACAGTCGAGTAGAAGATTCCAAGAATCAAACCAACAATTTGTCATATGAGGAAGCAAAAAACACCCAATCAGAAGAGCAAAAAGAATCCAAAAATATGAAGATAGTGTAAGGAGCCTCTGGGACAACTTCAAACATACCAACATTCCAATTATGGGGGTGCCAGAGGGAACAAGAGAAAGCAAGATATTGAAAACCTATTTGAAGAAATAATGACAGAAAACTTCCCCTACCTGGTGAAAGAAATAGACTTACAAGTTCAGGAAGCGCAGAGAGTCCCAAACAAGAAGAACCCAAAGAGGCCCACACCAAGACACATCATAATTAAAATGCCAAGGGTTAAAGACAAAGAAAGAATCTTAAAAACAGCAAGAGAAAAGAAGTTAGTTACCTACAAGGGAGCACCCATATGACTGTCAAATTTCTCAACAGAAACTTTGCTGGCCAGAAGACAGTAGCAAGAAATATTCAAAGTGATTAATAGTAAGGACTTACAACCAAGATTACTCTACCCAGCAAAGCTCTCATTTAGAATTGAGGGTCAGATAAAGAGCTTCACAGATAAGAAAAAGGTAAAGGAGTTCACACCACCAAACCAGTATTACATGACATGTTGAAGGGTATTATTGAAGAAGAAGAAGAAGAAGAAGAAGAAGAAGAAGAAGAAGAAGAAGAAGAAGAAGAAGAAGAAGAAGAAGAAGAAGAAGAAGAAGAAGAAGAAGAAGAAGAAGAAGAAGAAGAAGAAGAAGAAGAAGAAGAAGAAGAAGAAGAAGAAGAAGAAGAAGAAGAAGAAGAAGAAGAAGAAGAAGAAGAAGAAGAAGAAGAAGAAGAAGAAGAAGAAGAAGAAGAAGAAGAAGAAGAAGAAGAAGAAGAAGAAGAAGAAGAAGAAGAAGAAGAAGAAGAAGAAGAAGAAGAAGAAGAAGAAGAAGAAGAAGAAGAAGAAGAAGAAGAAGAAGAAGAAGAAGAAGAAGAAGAAGAAGAAGAAGAAGAAGAAGAAGAAGAAGAAGAAGAAGAAGAAGAAGAAGAAGAAGAAGAAGAAGAAGAAGAAGAAGAAGAAGAAGAAGAAGAAGAAGAAGAAGAAGAAGAAGAAGAAGAAGAAGAAGAAGAAGAAGAAGAAGAAGAAGAAGAAGAAGAAGAAGAAGAAGAAGAAGAAGAAGAAGAAGAAGAAGAAGAAGAAGAAGAAGAAGAAGAAGAAGAAGAAGAAGAAGAAGAAGAAGAAGAAGAAGAAGAAGAAGAAGAAGAAGAAGAAGAAGAAGAAGAAGAAGAAGAAGAAGAAGAAGAAGAAGAAGAAGAAGAAGAAGAAGAAGAAGAAGAAGAAGAAGAAGAAGAAGAAGAAGAAGAAGAAGAAGAAGAAGAAGAAGAAGAAGAAGAAGAAGAAGAAGAAGAAGAAGAAGAAGAAGAAGAAGAAGAAGAAGAAGAAGAAGAAGAAGAAGAAGAAGAAGAAGAAGAAGAAGAAGAAGAAGAAGAAGAAGAAGAAGAAGAAGAAGAAGAAGAAGAAGAAGAAGAAGAAGAAGAAGAAGGAGAAGAAGAAGAAGGAGGAGGAGGAGGAAGAAAGAAAGGAAAAGGAGGAGGAGGAGAGGAAGAAGAAACAATATGAATGATAAAATGGCAATAAATACATATCTATCCACACTTGAACCTAAAAATCAAAATAAATGAACAAGAAATCTAATGAACCAAATAAACTGGTGAATAAAACAGAATCAGAGGTTTGGAAGCATGGAACAGACTGACGAATCTCAGAGGGAAAGGGGGAGGGAGAATGGGAAGAGATTAACCAAAGATCTTACCTATGGACACAGACAGTAGGGTGGTGAAGGCCTGGGATGGGGCAGGAACTGGGTGGAGGAGGACAATAGGGGGAAAAAACCTGTGTGGGAAACTGATATAGGTGTGAGCCTTGGACTGACCTGCTGGCAAAGTCACAAACAAGTCCCAGCTTAGAGGGCTCAGTCCTCTAAGCATAATTAGGCTTGACCTTATAACACTCCCCAGATCTTACCTGGGAAGCTAATGGGCTTAGGGAAGTGCAGGGAGTGTAAACATGATCAAAACAGGTGAAACTCACAAGAACTGTAACTATGGTAACCACTGCATTGTTTACCTCAGACTATAATAGGTGGGTGCGGACTGAGCACGGGTGGAAGTCCTTCCTCTTGAGTTGGACTTACCCGCCTGGTCCCCCAATATTTCCAATTTATCTCTTGTCTTTTCTATTTCATTTGTGTTGTGCGGCTCTTCCAGATATTGAACCCTGAACCACGCGGGACGTGGGAGGAAATATTTACGACAAACCGGGACATTTGTAATACTCTCAAAAAAAGATTAAAAAAAAACTTATCCTAAGGGAGGATTAATGGGATAACCAAGGAAGAAAATGATTAGACTAGGGATTATTGATCCTTTCTTTCATTTCCAGTGCCTCTCCTGGGTACTCTGGGATGAAATCACCTAAATTCAATCTACAGTTTTAGATTTCTTATCTGTAGAATAGAGATAATGATAATATTTTGCTTACCTTGAGGTGGTTAATTACTGATCAGATTACTGGTTTTTTCTGGATGGAAGACATAAGATGTGTAGAGTAATAGGAAGATATGTTGAGATTTCTAGCCTTTGTGCCAGATTAACAGCTCAGTTGCCCACTTATGAGAATATAGCAGTGACCTAACAATGGCTGTCAATGTTCTGACATATCTATGGCAACCACTGCCTGGTTCATAGCAACCAAACTCACATCTCCCTACCTTGTATGATGTACAGCTGATTACTAAATGAATTTTTAGTCATCATATTTTTTTTTAGTTTACAAAGTATTGACATAGAATTTACAATGTGCCAGCACTCATTTAGGCACTTTATACATATTAACACATTTAATTTGGTCATTATTACAAAATGACCAAAAAGTGGGGTCTATCATTCCTACTTTTACAAGATGAGGTTCACAGCAAACATTTTTTTTAATGAGTAGAAAGAGTACAAAAGTAACAATTAACAGTATAGTAGAGTAAATTTTAAAAAGAGAGATAGGATGAGGTTCAAGGTTACCTGGCTAGTAAGTGATAAATCAGAATTGAAACCCAGGTGGTCTGGCTTCAGAGTTCATATATATTAGGTTAAGGGTCTTACAGGCTATGTGAGTGAGAAGACCTCGGGTATCAGAGAAACTGCCCTGCTCTTGGCCTTTCCATCTCTTCTAGCCAAACTATACCGCACTTATTTTTTTCAGTGAACTTTTTAAAAAGTAAGTTGACATACAATATCATATTAATTTCAGGTGTACAACATTGTGATTTGACATTTATATACTTTATGATGTGATCACCACAATAAGACTAGTAACCACCTATCACTGTAAAAAGTTATTTAGTGAACTTTTAAAAAATAAACTTTATTTTAGAATGGTTTTAGATATACAGAAACATTACAAAGACACTACAGAGAGTTCCCATATTCCCTGAACCCAGTTTTCCCTATTATTTTGTTGTTGTTAATCCTCACTCGATATTTTTCCATTAATTTTTAGAAAGAATGGAAGGGAGAGCAGGAGAGAGGGAAGGTGGGAGAGAGGGAGGGAGGAGAGAGGGAGGGAGGAGAGAGGGAGAGAGAGAGAGAGAGAGAGAGAGAGATGTGAGAGAGATTCAGTGATTGGTTGCCTACTGCATGTGCCCCTATCAGGGCCAGGGATTGAGCCTGCAACCAGGGTACGTGTCTAGGCCGCACCCCCTATTCTTAATACCTTACACTAGTATGGCATATTTGTTACAATGAATGAACTGATGTTGATATGTGATTATTTACTAAAGTTCATGCTTTATTCACATTTTCTTAGTTTTTACTTAATGTCCTTTTTCTTTCCAAAGATCCCATTTAGGATACCACAGTATGTTTACTTTTCAAGTGTCCTTAGCTTACTCTTGGTTGTGACAGTTGTGCAGACTTTGATTTTGACCAGACAGGAGCACTGGTCAGGTGTTTTGTAGAATGTCCTCACTTGGTGTTTGTCTGGTATTATTCTCAATATTACACTGGATTTATGTGTTTTGGGGAGGAAAACCACAGAGGTAAAGGCCCTTCTCATCACATCATATCATGAGCACATGCTATCAATATGACTTATTGCTGATGATATTGACCTTGATCACCTGACTGAGGTGGTATTTGTCAGGTCTTTCCACTGTAGAGTTACTTTATTCTCCTTTTCATGCTGTATACTTTGGAAGAAAGTTACTATGTGCAGCCTATACTTAAAATGGGGAGTTATGCTCTATCTCCTTGATGGTGGAATATCTCCATAAATTATTTGGGATTCTTCTATGGGAAGTTTATCTAGTCTCATCCATTTGTTTATTAAATCATTTATTAATACAGTATGGGTTAATAGGTATTCATTTTACACACTGAGTTATAATCCAATACTACTTTATTTACTTGCTCAATTTGTTCCAGCTTTTGTATTGGGAGTTCTTTCAATGGACTTCTGTATCCCTTTGACATATATCCAGTGTTGTGGATTTTTTTTGAGAACTTCCTCTCTTGCTGGCACTGTGAGAGGCTTCAGGCTCATCTTCTGTATTCCGTAGTCTTAGAATCAGCCATTTCTTTCTTTCTTTTTTTTTTGATTAAGTTATTACATATGTGTCCTTATCCCCACGTTACCCCCTACCCCCCCCACTCATGCTCCCCCCCTGCTGTCTGTGTCCATT